TTTGTAAGTAATTTTACTTTTTATTTTCTGTGGCTGGAAGGATTGAGTTTTATAGAAAGGCTGTAGTATATTACAGCCTCTTTGAAAAATGGCATACAGTGTTAATGAAAGAGGAAGAAACATTTCCAAGTAGTTGTGAGTGCTAAGTTGAAAGGTAAAGGTGCTTTTATGAGGTAGATGAGAAAACAGACTTAAAAGTTTTCCTTATCAGTATCATTAGAGGCATGTGAGATAAGAAACGTGGATATTTTCATACTGTCCCTTGCTTGGCAGTGGACATTGCTCAACCTAGAATATTCACTGATCCTTTTCAGTTACTCCTGTTTGAACAAAGGGAAATTTCAAATCAGCTGCACCATTTGTGATGGAAATGATTGTAGAAGAATTGTGTAAATATAAACAAAGAGAAAGTGATTTTAAGTGAGACTATTCCTATTTCATTGATGTTTGGGAAATGGGTCATTTAAAACTTGCTAAGAGAAACTCAGCAGTATTCAGACTTAATCACAGTAACCCAGACAATAGTTGATAAGGACCTGAACTATGCCAATGGTAGTAAAAATATAGAGAATTTGGAAATCATTCTTTGAAAAGAATCACCAGAATGTGGTGACCAAGTCTCTAGCCTACCTAATCAATTCTGTACTTTCAGTTCCTAGAAGGTCTACTATAATCTAGAATTATGTGAGTGATTTCTATGATAATAATAATTGCTATTATACTTAAAGTTAACTATAGTTGGTGAGTCTAAAAATCAAATATATTCATAATTTCTATTATGTTTTATTTATAAATGGCATTACATTTCAGCTTACAAAGATGAATACACAAAAGATAGAAAAATAATATAAAGTTAAAATAGGTGAGAAAGGTAAGACAAGGATAATACATAAATGGTTTACTATTAAAGCCCTCTAGACTTGATACAAATTTGGCTTTAAGTTGTATTTTTTGTTTTTAAGCATTAGCCTTTTATTGAAGCATAACCAAATATACAAAAGCATATCAATCATCAGGGTATAGTTGATTGGATATGAATGGAGGTCACAGTTATTATTCATAAGATAAAACTTCAGCTAGCCTAGTTCTGTCATACATGAATTTTGGCATCATGTCGCTCAGGCATAATTTCTACCTCTAACATTTAATACTTTCCACCTTTCTTAAATAAGCAAGTGATTTATATTCACCAAGCTTGAATTTCCTCATAAGCAAAGTGGAGATGACAGTAATACTTACCTCATAGAACTTTTGAAGATTAAACGGGTCGATTTGGGTATACCTGGTACTCAGCAAGGGTTCAGTAAAGATTAGCCATCCTTTTTCTTATTTTTAAATAAAATTAAGCTAGTTCATATGAAACAAGTACTCCATTTTATTTGAACATTTTTAAACTTTTGCTTAAAATTTCATCTTATGTTGTCAAAACTATTTTTTGGACACAAACCCTAGACAGAAAATTTCCCCAGGGCACTCAAAAAGAGTATTATGATAATGAAGGGCATCTCTACCATAGCTCAATCGTAACTTCATAGGGAACATTAAGAGTTAGTTACAGTTTTTATTGAATGAGTTGTATAAAAAATAACAGTTGGTTTTTGCCCTCAACTAATTAACCCTCTGATGGAAAGAGAAACTACTGACAGGAAACAATTAAAGGATAAACTCTGTGGCCTGGAAATAAGAGTTTATCAAAGAAAGACATTAGAGTGGGCTGACGCATTAAGGAAAACTTCTTAAAGGAGACAGAATAATTTTTCCCCACATTCTTGGACTACAGCAGACAAATCAAGCATGTCCCTGAGATAACTGTCTGACTGCTCCTGTTGGTAAGTGGCTTGAGACTCATGCATAGGAGGTAAATGAAACTGTATTCCAATTCCTGTCTTTGGAGCTTCAAGGAACAATGATCCCTGAGGAGAGTAGCCTAAAGCAATGCGAGTACTATCCTGTTATAGATGGAAGCAATTAGTGCTTCTTTTTCCGTGTTAGTAGGAAAATGCCCTTGTCATTCAGTTGCTCAGTCGTGTCCCACTCTTTGTGACCCCATGGACTCCAGCACACCAGGCCTGCCTGTCCTTCACCACCTCCCGGAGCCTACTCAAACTCATGTCCATTGAGTCGATGATGCTATCCAACTGTCTCATCCTCTGTTGCCCCGTTGTTCTCCTGACCTCCTGCCCTCAGGGTCTTTTCCAGTGAGTCAGCTCTTTACATCAGGTGGCCACAGTATTGAAGCTTCAGCTTCAGCATCAGTCCTTCCAGTGAATACTCAGGGTTCATTTCCTTCAGGATGGACTGGTTTGATCTCCTTGCTGTTCAAAGGACTCTCAGGAGTCTTCTCCAGCACCACAGTTCAAAATGCTGACCTGTCAGTAAATTCAGGACAAGCTAAACCTCTAAGAAATAATGCCCCTTTTATTTGGCCATTTGAACAACAGTCATTTGTATAATTTCTAGTTATGAATTAGGACATTCACCACTGCCAGATCAAATATGTCAAGCAACCATAATTGCTAAACTTGACCAGTGATAGATAATACCATTGCACCACTTTCTTTACTAATATATTCCTGTGTCTCTCAGATTTTTCCTTTTCATCTGGTACTTACCATCTCTTCTCTGATGCTACATATGCTTCTCTACATCCCTCCTCCCTCATCTTCATTGTGATTATAATTTATCTGTACACTCAGAGTGCCATACAAAGAAGATGCTTGTAATTTATGTATAAATGTGTCTAAATATACCTGTGCCATACCAGTCCCCCTCCTAAGTCTCATCTCTCCTTCAGTGACATTTTAATTCAGGTGAACTCCTAAGTTTAGAACCTTTGCATATTGCTTTTTTTCATTTTGTGTCTCCCACAAGTTTTTTTGAAATGTCTTTTTTTTTTTTTTCTTTTTCCTCGCTCCTTATACCCATTCGTTTGTAGGCTCTCATAGCCTCAGACCTGTAATGCTGATGCAGACACTGCACTGGTCTTCTAACAGCAATCTTCCTATTACTGTCAAATGAATCTTAGAGGTTCAACAAATACGAACTGAGCACCTGCTTTGTGTTTAGTACTATATTAGGTGATGGGTATATATACCAGTTTGAACAGAATAGGGTTTGCCAGTAATGTGGCTGTGTTAAGTAGAATTTGAAACCAAAGGAAAGAGTGTTTCACCCTAGAAGATGCAGATTCCCAGCATTAGCCCTATTGAATGGGGCCGAGATTATTCTCTCTAATACCATGAAGCTTGCAGTTTGAAAGGTATTACTGTTAGTATTTTGAGTGTTACAATAGAAGAACTAGGTTACAGGTTCAGTAGAGACAACTGTTTTGTTCTAAGGAGTTAGGAAAGGGCCCTCAGAGGAAATAAGAGTCAGAATTGGCTGGGAATAGTGTTCTGGACTAAAGAAATAACTGTAGTAAGGCTTGGAGTCAGTAGAGTGCTATTATAAAGTAGGCACTGAGCAGTATGAGTGAGACCTGTATTCTATGTCACAAGATGGTATTCTATGGGCCTTTGTAACTCAGTGTTCTAGAAGATAAAACTCTAAAGATTGGGCTTCAGGAACCAGATGTCACTAGAAACTGTTGGTCGTCTCGTGATTCTCAACTATGGAGTTAATGAAGACACAAAGTTCGAGGTGAACTTACTGATGCACTGAAATTGTGGAGCTACTTCTTACGGGTAGATCTTATATACCCACTGATCTCACATAAGATTGGTATATAGACAAGGTGTCAATTTATTTTTACTGTGACTGGTGGGCTGTCATTGTAAAAATAATATGTTGACAATGTCATGTTGACATGGCTAACTCATCCTTCCCTTTAGAGTGACACATGGGAAGCCAAATAAGAGTATGGAATTAGAACATGGGAACTTTCTCCAAAGAAATTGCTTCACAACAGGACAAATACGCAGTTTTTACAAAGACACCGTCTCCATGGTTGGTTGGTTTTTGCCAGTGTTTACCTTAATTATTATTACATTTACTTGATCAGTTTATATTGGAGAGGTTAGTCTTCATCCAGGAGATGATGGGAGGTCACAGAAGGATTTTAGGCAGGGGTTGGATATAAACAGATCTATGTTTTTGAAAGATGACATACGGTGGTGTAAGAGTTGGTTTAGAGGTAGTAGAAGCTGGACCCAACGGGCATTTATAAATGAATTTGAGTAGTCCAGTTGATGAGTAATGATTGATGAATGGAGATAAAGAAGAAATCCCTAGCATCTAGTAGGGATTAACTAGATCCACTGTACTCTTACTCAGATTCCCACCAAGTGACTCATCTGGTTTTTCTATATCAAATATTCACTTCATATATCAACAAATGTTTCTTAAGAAAGAATTTAGGTTTGTCCAAAATGCAAAGAACAAAGACCTGTGCCTTTGACACTGTCTAAAAGTTGTCCCTTTAAACATGTGACTTTCATTTTATTGCAAAAATACTTGTATGAGCAAATTCACATCAGTTTAGACAGAAGAGGGTTTACCCAGGAATAGGACAAGCAGTGCCATTACAGTAAAATTCAAAGCAAAGGAAAATAGTGTTTTGTCTTTGAAGAAGCAGGTTCATAGTATATGCAAAATAAAATCGTTACTTCTTATTACTTTATTACTTGTTGGGATGTTTTAGGTAGTTCATGAAACCTGACAGAATTCTAATTTGAGAAGCAAAAGAAATGCCCTTGGAATAACTCAAGCACTGTTCTTATATTAAGCATCTTAAAAAGCTGAATGAATGCCAAGCTACTTCTGCTAATATAAGTCCACTCCTTAGGTGCAATTGACACTTGATGTTGGTGAGGAGTCATTTTTTAACAGCCTTCAAAAGCTGTTATACTAGCTTCCTCTTTCAAGGGAAATTTCATTCAGATACATATGAACAGGTATGACAACACAAGATTTGTTTTTGGAAGGAAAATCCAGGTTTTCTTAATTGTTTAAATTTTCTTAAATTCATCCTTTTTACATTTCTGTTCTTTAGGTCTGCCAAAATGTCTGAAAGATCAGATCTCCTTCACTTCAAGTTTGAAAATTATGGAGATTCAATGTTACAAAAAATGAACAAATTAAGAGAAGAGAATAAATTTTGTGATGTTACAGTTCTCATAGATGATATTGAGGTACAGGGGCATAAAATTGTGTTTGCTGCAGGTTCCCCCTTCTTAAGAGACCAGTTTTTACTGAACGATTCGAGAGAGGTGAAAATCTCCATATTGCAGAGTTCCGAAGTGGGGAGACAATTGCTCTTGTCGTGTTATAGTGGTGTGCTGGAATTCCCTGAGATGGAACTGGTCAATTACTTGACCGCTGCGAGTTTTCTTCAGATGAGTCACATTGTAGAACGGTGCACGCAGGCCTTGTGGAAGTTTATAAAGCCAAAACAGCCAATGGAAAGTAAAGAGGGATGTGAACCACAGAGTGCTTCTCCCCAGTCGAAAGAACATCAGGGAGATGCCAGAGGCTCCCCAAAGCAGGACTCACCTTGTATTCACCCATCTGAAGACAGTATGGATATGGAGGACAGTGATATTCAGATCGTTAAGGTAGAATCTATTGGGGATGTATCAGAGGTTAGAAGTAAAAAAGATCAGAACCAGTTTATTTCTTCTGAACCTACTGCTTTACATTCATCTGAGCCCCAGCACTCTCTGATAAATTCAACTGTGGAAAACAGAGTAAGTGAAATAGAGCAAAACCATCTCCACAATTATGCCCTCTCTTACACAGGCAGTGATAACATCATCATGGCCTCAAAAGATGTCTTTGGGCCTAATATTCGAGGTGTAGACAAAGGCCTGCAGTGGCATCACCAGTGCCCAAAGTGTACCAGGGTGTTTCGTCACCTGGAGAACTACGCCAACCATTTAAAAATGCACAAACTCTTTATGTGTCTACTCTGCGGCAAGACTTTTACTCAGAAAGGCAACCTTCATCGACACATGCGTGTGCATGCCGGCATTAAACCTTTCCAGTGTAAAATCTGTGGGAAAACCTTTTCTCAGAAGTGTTCCTTACAGGATCATCTTAACCTTCACAGTGGAGATAAGCCCCATAAGTGTAACTATTGTGACATGGTTTTTGCACATAAGCCAGTTTTGAGGAAGCACCTTAAACAGCTGCATGGCAAAAACAGCTTTGATAATGCCAATGAAAGAAATGTGCAAGACCTCACTGTGGACTTTGATTCTTTTGCGTGTACAACAGTCACAGACTCAAAAGGGTGTCAGCCACAGCCTGATGCGACACAGGTCCTGGATGCAGGTAAACTGGCCCAAGCTGTCCTGAACTTAAGGAACGATAGCACTTGCGTGAATTAAATAGGGCCTTTGTGCTCCTAACTAGGACTGACTACAAATGTGGCAATAGCCTGAGTCTTTTTAGGAGTCATTTCGCTAATCTGACTTCTCCAGAGCCTCTGTGCAGGTCGTGGGGGTGAGTCAAAGCACTAATAGACCAGGCAGCTTGCCACTTGGAGTGGTCTTGCCTGCCTTTTCCCCTTTCCCATGTTCTGTTCTGAATTATTTATCCTGTGATGTCTGTTTTCCTTCCCAAGGAGTACTCCATTTGTCTACCCAACATCAGCTTATGTCTTAGACGGACACTGTTTTAGACTTTCCACTGGGCACATTCTGAAGGAACCAAGAAGTTAGTAACATCACCTCCACTCCACCAATAGATGCTATGCTAAGGGAAGCAAATAATCGTTTTCTTTGGTAGGAAATAAGCTGAGATATAAGGTGATATTGCTATCAGCCTGAATATGTGATATAACTTCTGGTTCTATCAGAACCATTGATAATTCATCTATGTGTGATAAATGAATGAATCTACTTATCCTGGAGCTGGCTATAAAGAAGTATTTTAGATTATTCTGTACTCTTTTCAACAGTTTGTGGCCCAGCTTCATGTGATTGAAGTTCACATAGACCAGAGTACAATATTTCCATCAATACCTGCAGATAGGAATCATCATTGGGGAGCATAACCAACAAAGGGTAGTAGTTCTACAAAAGTACTTATTTGGGAGGTCTTCCCCCAAAAGAAGTCAAATGCTTATAATTATTCTGTAGCTTACTTGGTGATGCTTTTGGAATCAGGATTGCTCCAGGTACACTTTAAGTGTGATAACATATATAATGGTCTAAAAAGGGGCTAGCTGGAGTCAGTCTCTAAACTTTGTTATAGAAGTTTGCTATTGGTAAGGTGAGTTTGGCCTTCAGAGTTTTGTCCAGTATATTGTAATAGTCTCTGAATTCTCATTTCTTTGTGTACCTTAATTTCTAAAGTGAATGAAAAAAGTGGGTCACAGAAGGAGCAGTCAGATTTTTGCATTTAAATGTTCCTGTAATGGTACACAGTCCCACCTCATCCCCTTTGACAGATCAAATACAAAGTTGATCTTCCGTTATGGGAAAACAAAACTGTTTTTCCTAAGCACATGTTCAGAAATAAAATTTTGAGTCTTAACTCGTTTCTGACCCATGAGTTAGATTTAGATAATAGGAGTGTTTGAGTCCATAGAGAATCTTAAGAAATCATTTAGCCTGCCTCTCTTTTTTTAAGTTGGGGTATCCAAAGCCCAAAGAGGTAGCCTGGCCAAGGTTGGCCAAAGTAGACTAAGGAGGCTAAATATGAGCCAAGGTCTCCTCACTTCTCACTGTCCCTTGGCTTAAAAAGATTTAGTACATGGTCAAGAATACTTTAGCAAAAAGTTCCTAGTTTGTGCTTCCCCTCTGTGCATCCTTGTTTGCTTTCTAAGATAGCCTCGATTTTGCAAACAGAACAGTCATGGAAGGATTTATTTTTGTAAGGTGATTATTTTTTGTTTAGGATGAATATTACAGTCTTCCTAAGCAAGCAACTGATTTGCTGGGTGTTGATTAGTAACAGAAAGGACAAGTAACAATGTGAGAAGGATCCAAATGTGAAACTAATTTTGTCTGGAAACAGTGTTTAGTTTCTGTCAGGATTTTCTGTTTTTTGTTTCTGAGCTGTGAGAGTCCATGTATAGATGAACCAAAAATTAATTTTAACTTGAGTAGTCAGAGGGTATTCTTAAAGTTGTTATAATTTGATGCATTTACACGTGAATCTGATTTGAAGTATAATTTCTACCATTTGTTAAAAGGTTTTAAATGAGAATAAAATGGAGTGGTAAGACTAATAGGTATCTTATGCCTAATGTCACTCATTATATGATCTAATGATGCTACCTAGCATTCTGGTTTTTATATGATCCAGCCAAAGAGTACCAATTCTATGCAATAGTGAGACACTAACATGTTAACCAATGTTTCACTCTTCTCTCTAAACATCATTTTATCACAGGGAAATTTCAAGTTGGAGTGCTTGCTTTGCGTAAATTCATGTCTTGTTTTGTAACTGGTTTGAAAACTAAAAGGCATGGGTTCAAATAAAATTGGTCTCTTTGGTTGGAGACTATTTCTGGATTCATTCAGGCATTCAGGAGACATTTATTGAACACATATTATTGCTAGGCACTATGCTAGATACTGAGAATTTGAAGATAAGATTGTTATGGTCTGCGCCCTCACAGAGCTTACAGTCTCATGTAGTCTTAGTGAGATAAGGTATCAATTTGGTTTTATCCTAGGAAGAATAAAGAAAACTGCCTTGCTTTCTTTGATCACTTAAAATCAGCCTCTTGATGGTTTTGTATGAGTAAAACTTGTAGTTCTCACCTTTTTCAATTGCAAACCACTGAAGTGGTTTACAGTCTCCCCCATTTCTTGGCTGGAGAGGTGTTCTGTTTCTGTGAGACATTTTCTTAATTTTGGTGGTACTTGAGTTTTTCTTTGTTTATACATGTTTCTTAGATTATATTGCAAAGTGATCAATTTACTGATATCGAATATGTTTTACAGAGGAAGATGACTTTCAAAACTAGTTGTATTCTTGTAGTGGACGAAGATTTTTTAAAACCTTAGACATTCAGCATTTGTATTTTATGGATCCCCAGGATAACTAAAAATGAGAGGGTTCTGTTTTCCTTAGTTTGGTTTTTTAAAAAATCACTGTGTCACAGTTATTTATTTATTATTTAATTTTAAAGGCAAACTCCAAACTGAAGTGGCTCTGAGGTAAATCAGATGTGGTTTTAATTTGTTTTAGTTTATTAGAAGATCTATAAATGGAGGGTGATCACCATCACTACTTCTAAAATATTGTCCTAAACAAACAACCCAGAACATTTTACTTCAGCTGGTGAATAGCTGTTCTAAATCTGTTGTATGTTAGACATACTGTGAACTACCTCTTCACTTATTATGGGGAAGTTTCCTTAATAAAAGTGTGACAATTCAAAGCTCTGGTGTCAATGATTTATTTTCTCTCTTTCCCTCCCGCTTCCCATTCCAATTGCTTGAATTTGAATACAGGAATGCTTTCTCACTCTCATTCTTGAAAAGACATGTTAATCAAGCATGTTGGACTTGGCTTCAGAAGCAAATCTGGGCTAACAAAAAATTGTTATGAGGGTCAGTTACTTCTTCCTGTACTGTTGACTGAGGGGATGGAGCAACTGCTTTTGAGAATTGGTTGAGATGTTTCCTTCATTTAGCAATTACTTGATTGCTACTAGCGCTAGACTTCTGGGAATGCAAAGATCAGTAAGTCACTGTCCTAAATACCTCTGCCTAGGTGGGACACAGATTTCAATACAGGTATGATAATTGCAGTCATTAAGGCAGCCAAAGGGTTTACTGGTTCCCTAAGTGGGAGCAAAGTAATTCATGGGCAATTCAAGATGGCTTTAGGGATGATGTGATTTATGAACGATGAATGGGATTTTGAAGGATGAGTGGTAGTGTTACTCCATGCACCAGATGCACGGAGAAGCCAAACAATACCAAAATGTTGGGAGTCAGGAACAGAGAAGTTTATTGCAGGGCCATGCAAGGAGGTGGGTGACTCATGCCTTAAAACCCCCAAACTCCCCAAAAGTAAAAGTCGCTCAGTCATGTCCCAACATTTTGTGACCGCATGGGCTGTAGCCCACCAGGCCGCTCTGTCCATGGGATTCTCCACGCTAGAATACTGGGGTGGGTTGCCATTCCATTCTCCAGGGGATCTTTCCAACCCAGGGATTGAACTCAGGTCTCCCATATTACGGGCGGATTCTTTACGAGCTGACCCATCAGGGAAACTCCCCAAAAGCTTTCAGCAAAGCCCTTTTATAGGAAAGGTGAGAGAGGCACGACGTTAGTTGTTGCAAACCTCCTGGTGTCTTTGTTCTGGAGGTCCGGTCATGGTCAGGTATCGATGTTCCTGTAAATCTCCATCAGGTAAATATTCTCTGTTCTGACAACAAAGGGCAAGGTCCCAAGGCACAACGTTCACAATCTGAGGACCAAGTCCTGGCTAGAGAGGCAGATTTCAGTTGTCTGCTCCCTCAGGGCCAGGTCCCCAGACCCTGTCCAGCTCTCATCCCTAAGGCAGCCAGGGACCCAACCCAAATGCCCCTCAAGCTCCTCACCCCACCCCACCCCCAGGTGGGGGGTTCTCGGGGGGGTGGGGGGGAGCATTGCTGTGCACAGACCAATGGCTGAACAACCGTTAACCTTTCCCTGGTAACGGGGGTGAGGGTTAATGGCCCGCAGCAACCTCTGCTGAACCACGCCCTATTACCGTAGAAGGAAATAGTCTATGCTGGAGAAAAGAGCCAGGTTAAAGGTTGAGATAGATGCCTGGGTTTCCCAAGGAACTGAGAAGGGTAGGGCTGTAGGGAGGAAGCCATAGGTTGACAGGTGATGTGGGATCCAGATCCTGACGGGGCATTTATTAAGTAATCTCCAATACAGATTCCGATCGCACCCTCCTCCCTTCCCTACTCCCTAGCGCCGCCACCCGCCCTCCACCCCCCGCCACCTTTTACATGGTATATGACGGGTAAGCAAAGGATCCGGTCCCCAATAATCCAGGCAGGTCTCCCGCCTGGGAGATCTCCCAGGATCTCCCGCCGGGATCCCTGTGCTGGTTACTCCGACAGATGAGTTGTACTACAACTTCACAACCCGTTTGCCATTCGGATGTTGAGAACTCACGGAGCGAACCGGCTCGAGTGCCGAAAGTGGGACAGGAGAGATGGGATTTGAGGGAATTCCGGGGTCTGTCATCCCAGTCGCGGGGGCAGTGAGAAAGGAAGACTGTCTCAGGATGTCCTTCCGGAACGCCCGGAGGGCCCCAGTGAGGAACGAAGCTAGTTGACCCCGGATGTGTTTCCTCCCAGGCTGACACCCCCCCCCCCCACCTTCCGGCCGGAGCCGCTGCTGCCGCGGAAAGCTTGACTCTGGTTTACTGTGTCGGTGAGTGAGTGCGGTGGAGCCTCGCGGGTGGGGAAGCCTGAGGTGGAAGCAGGGGAGCAGGAGGGTAGCAGCGAGGCGCGGCTGGGGAGTGGCTGAAATGCTGCTGCAGGCACTTGTCCGTTAGGACGTTGGCCCTAGCGGGCTTGGCACGAGAAGACCTGTGTCGCGAACTAGAAAATCGTCCAGGCCGGTGTGATCCGAATTCAGTTCAACGGATACTCCCGCAGCTGTCCCTGCTCTGTTCCAGCCACCGTGCTCGCTGCAGGACCTCAAATGAACGAGGCTCCTTTTCATGATGTTCTGGAAACTACTGACTCTGTCGGGAGACGGGAGGATAAATCTTATTTGATTTGAGCCTTATGCCAAGTCACTAGCTGGAAGCGCGAATATAACATGTACAAAGGTGTAATTGGGTCTTCTTGTCTGAGCAGTGGTGAAAATCTAAATATCATAGCAGTTTCAGTGTAAGAGATTGAGGAAAGGTACAGCCATAACGTTGGTGAAGGCCAAATAATGAAGGATCTTGTATTCGCTAAGAAGGTTAGACTGTCCTGGAGATGGAGGAGCATCATGGAACATTTAAAGCAGAAAAGAAAAATAGAAAATTTTTTACAGTTCTAAAAGATGTTAATCTGATGGCTTTTAGGAGGGTAGTTTGGAATGTAGGAGACTGGCATCAAGGAAGCTGCAGTGGCCCAGGTATGCAGAAGGAAGGACCTGCTCACCTGGAGGTCCAGGTGATGAGGAGTTAGGAAGTTCGGTGATTATATTAAGGATTCTAATTTGGGAACCTGTTAAGTCCACTTAGTAGTGGCCCCTAACAATGGCCTTGTCTAGAAGGCACATAGAGTTTAGCCAAAGAGCAAAACATAAAAACTGTTGAGTACAATTCAATGTAATAAAGGCTGTATGTAATATAAACAGTCTGCCATTAAAAATGTTTAATGTACAAATAAAAGTAGAACAATGAACAAAAAAGTGTTGTAACAAAAAAATTTTTTTAATGTGCCACAAGATCGTAGAGAAATGCATTTTATTTTTCTGGATTTTGAGGTGGTTACCCCTAGGGGTTCAGTCTTATCAAACAGATTAGAATTTGAGTTATCTTCTATCTAATTTAGGTTTAGGATTTGGGAATGATTTATTTTTGGTATCACAATGTAGGAAAACAACTCCCATCCTTACATGCATGTTTATGTTTTATTTTGCTTAGATTGTGACCATGGCTGCTGAGTCTGATGTTCTGCACTTCCAGTTTGAACAACAAGGAGATGTAGTCTTGCAGAAAATGAACCTCTTGAGGCAGCAGAATTTATTTTGTGATGTGTCGATTTATATTAATGACACTGAGTTCCAGGGACACAAGGTGATTTTAGCTGCTTGCTCCACCTTTATGAGAGATCAGTTTTTACTCACACAGTCAAAACATGTCAGAATCACCATCTTGCAGAGTGCAGAAGTTGGCAGAAAATTGTTGCTCTCTTGCTACACTGGAGCACTTGAAGTTAAAAGGAAAGAGCTTTTGAAATATTTGACTGCTGCCAGTTACCTTCAGATGGTTCACATTGTGGAAAAGTGCACAGAAGCTTTGTCAAAGTATCTGGAAATTGATCTTTCTATGAAAAATAACAATCAGCATGCTGACCTGTGTCAATCCTCTGATCCAGATGTTAAGAATGAAGATGAAAATTCAGATAAAGACTGTGAGATCATTGAAATTTCAGAAGATAGTCCTGTAAACATAGATTTCCATGTTAAAGAAGAGGAAAGCAATGTTTTACAGTCTACAGTAGAGAGCTTGACAGCAGAGAGAGAGGAAATGAGATCACCAGAGCTGTCTTCAGTAGACATGGGTTTTAAAGACAATGAAATTCGTATCCTCCATGTGGAATCTATCAGTACTGGGGGTGTAGAAAATGGAAAGTTTTCACAGCCCTGTACCTCTTCAAAAGCAAGCATGTATTTCTCAGAAACACAGCATTCACTGATCAATTCTACAGTTGAGAGCAGAGTGGCAGAAGTTCCTGGAAATCAAGATCAAGGCTTATTTTGTGAGAACACTGAAGGAAGTCATGGTCCAGTGAATGAGGTTCAGAATCTAGGGGATGCTTTTTCCCTGAGGCACCAATGCCCCCGGTGCCCTCGAGGGTTTCTTCACGTTGAGAACTATCTGCGCCACCTTAAGATGCATAAACTGTTCTTGTGCTTACAATGTGGGAAAACATTTACACAAAAGAAAAATCTCAACAGGCACATTCGAGGGCACATGGGCATACGGCCCTTTCAGTGTACTGTGTGCTTGAAGACATTTACTGCGAAAAGCACACTTCAGGACCACTTGAATATACACAGTGGGGATCGGCCATATAAATGCCACTGTTGTGACATGGATTTCAAGCACAAATCTGCCCTCAAAAAGCATTTAACCTCTCTCCATGGCAGAAGCAGTGGTGAAAAACTACCTAGGCATGATCTGGAAAGGCAAAACCTACTGTAACTAGAACCACACCTTGTTATGTAAGCTGTATATCATTCTGTTGGGCAAGTCTTTCTATAGAAATGCAGCATTTGTAATATTGCATTTCCACCCCCATCTTTAGATCTTATTTTTGGTCTACCTACACATGTTATTCTTTCTGAACTTGTACTACCAGTTCCAAAGTGTGGGAGACATGATAAAGCTGATAGGATGCTGTCTTGTCTCATGCATTATATATGAGTCTCAGTGGTTTATCTCAAGAAATAGTGTTCCTCTTAAATATTCTTGGTTCTATTGACAGAGGATCCAGCAGTATTTCCAGATTCTGATTTCAAATCCCTAGATAATGGATATAGGTGTACAATCCAAGCATACCATAACTTTAATAAATTAGGATAATGAGAAGAAGAAAAAAAAATTTAAAGCATACTATTATTCATTATTAGTCATTTTAACAATAGGTAGGACTAGTGAATTTTTTTTAATGAACTGTATTGGAAATTCTAAACTAAACACCATGATACCTGTTGTTTTAAACTGTAAAGGAACACCATTCAGATTCACTTGGAAGTAGCAGAATTTCCTTATACATAAAGCTAATATTCCTTACAATAGTATTTCCATGAGTTGTTAGTATATATATTTTAGAATGATTAATTAGGCCCAGGTTTCTTGATTTTATTTAATATGGTGACATTTAATAACTTTGTGGCCAGTAAAATTATATCAATGGCATGAAGCTCTAAGGTATTTGCTATGTTTTCTTTTTGAAATTTATTTTGTTAACATACAGTAAAATTGACTTGTTTTTGGTGTATAGTTCTATGAATGTTTCTATATGTACAGAGTTACGCAGCCACCACTGCAATCAGGATGCAGAACATTCCATCACCCTCCAACACTTCTGTATACTTCAGCTTTGTAGTCAGCTCCTCCTCCTAGCACTAAACCCAGGTGCCAGTTCTCCATTTTTATAATTTTGCCTTTTCTGAAATACCATGAATGGAATCTTATAGTATGTTCCCATTTGAAATGCTGTTTTCACTCAGTTTAATGCCTTTGATATTCATCCATGTTGCTGTGTGTATCAGTAGTTCATTCCCTTTTTTTTAATGTTGAATTGGCAGCATATATTAGTTTTCTTACTATCACTAGATGAACGGTTTAAATATGGGTAACTCCAATACTTTGGCCACCTGATGTGAAGAGCTAACTCATTGGAAAAGACCCTGATGCTGGGAAAGATTGAGGGCGGGAGGAGAAGGAGACGACAGAGGATGAGATGGTTGGCTGGCATCACCGACTCAATGGACATGAGTTTG